GTACATGTACACGTGCAGTTACAATAATTAGATAAATTCCCCTCATATTCTTCCTCTCCTCTCTCTTCCCTCCTTCTCTCTCTCTCTCTCCCTCCCTCTCTCTCTCCCCCTCTCTCTCTCTCCCTCTCTCTCTCCCCCTCTCTCTCTCTCCCCCTCCCTCCCCCTCCCTCCCTCTCTCTCAGATATCTCCAGCACAATCATATATCTGACAGCAGTTCATTGTTACATGAACTAAGTCACTGCACATCACTAGAAGTATTGTAAGTATACACAATATAATAATAATAATGATAATTCTGGTTTAACCTGTTTTATTCTCTTTCTCTGTAACCCACCCCACACTGTATTTCAGATATAGTAAATAATAATAATAATAATAATAATACTCTCTCTCTCTCTCTATAGGAGATTAAATAACAATAAAATTTCAAGTTTTGAAACAGCTGCTTCCTTCCCTCCGCTCCAATCACTGTAATTAATACAATAATAATGATGATAATAAAATAATAATAAAACAATTAATAATAATAATAATGATATAATAATAATAATATTTACTACATCATTACATATTGTACTGTCCCTGAAAACAAATAATATAAAACAATGTCCGCTATCCAATAATAACAATACATGTACATGTACATACATGTATACATGTATGTGTACATTATTATACATGTATGTGTATTGTCTGTGCAGCTGCAGTTAGCTGGAAATATGAATGGGGGAATTACCATTGGGATATTAGTGTACATGTAGTTTTATTTTATCATTAAATATTGCAAATTGTCCATGCATGTGCATGGCTACAGAAAATAACAATGATTAAAAATATATATACATGTACAATACATGTAGATGTACATATTATTATTATTATTTTTTTTTCATTTTATAGATACATTGGATCAAACAGTATCAGTGTATTGCCAAGCCCAGTCATTCGTAACTGCAATAAACTGAAATTAATGTAACAGCAACAAGTACATGTACATGTACTAGAGTGTCTTAAATCCTACATTAATTTAATTCAGAAACAATGTACACATGGATATTATGAACATATACACAGTACTGATAAATCAATACAATAAGTATATACATGTACATGTACATGTAAAGGTTGGCTTACAATATTACGCAAGTCCTGACGTTACGTTGATGCAGGAATAGAATCTGGTTCTATTCTAGCAAAAAGTATGCGTCAAAAAGTCAAACTGCCCACGCTTTTGATTAAAAATTGATGGTATGTTGGCCTAACGTCATATTGTGAACCAGCCTATTCAGTAATTTAATAGAGAACCATGGAGTTTCATTACCTACATTAGTACATGCATACACAGTGTATATAAATAAAATATTAATTTCCTTCATTTTAGTGATTTATCCAACAATACCATTAGTGAATTGAGTGATGACTCATTCAATGGATGCACTCAATTGAAGAGAATGTGAGTTTGATTTGAATCCAATTGACTCTTTTGATTACATGTACATGTACTGTATAAACTATATCATATCCTTTCTTTATCACTCATCCTTCCTTCCTTCCTTCCTTCCCTACAGCAAACTCAACGATAATAAGATCAAATTCATCAGAAATGCTTTCAATAATTTAACAGAGCTTCAAACCTTGTGAGTGTACCCAATCATTAACATACTATACTCTCTCTTCTACAGCCCCCCCTCTCTCTCTCCCCCTCTCTCGTAATGTCTTAACTCTCTCACATCACTCACTATTACATTGTATATACATGTACATGTACGTGAACATTATGGCTGGTAATTTGGAGTAGGAACCTTGACAAATCTGCATGATTCTACCATGCCTAGTTGCAATTGACCAATCAGATTGCTTGATTGTAGGTTCATAAATAACTTATTTACCACTGGGAGGTATAATAAGTAATTTCCCGGGCAATAGGAGGTTGATAAGTAATTTCCCAGACAGTCGGAGGTTAATAAGTAGCCCGGGAGGTTAATAAGTTTGACTGGGAGGTTAATAATAAGTTTGACCGGGAAATTACTTATTAACCTCCTGCTTAAAATAGGCATGCTGTTGCTAACTGTTGCTAAGTAAATACTTGTTTATTTTAGTACATGGTAGAAGTTGGTTATACAACTCTGTGTCAGTATCTATGGCCTTATCATACCTCAGGCCTACGGCCCTCGGTATGATAAATGCCATAGATACCTCCCCTCGTTGTATAACCTTTACTTATTTGATATCCATTCATCAATAGAAAGTCCACCAATTTTACCCATTATGTGTATGCTCAATGGCACGTGGACACAAAAAATCCTTTTAAAATAAACCCGCTAATCACCAAAAATGTAGCAATTTACCAAAATTTTATCCATCCAAAAACTACCATCTATATACATTAATCCATTAATCGTCTCTCTCTCTATTACCAGCTGTTACGTACTGTAATTCTGTATATCTGTACTTTTTCGTAGGTTACTCCACAATAATGAGATCAGGGATCCTACGTCAATTTCACGAATATCCTCACTACACCAGCTGTAAGAAAGAGAATACCGTACAATACATTAAGTAATGAGTAAACCAATATGTCTGACTGTCTGTTACGCATGACAAGAGTAATTGTTTACATGTTGTCATGTACACAATTACACCGACACATGTGCAGTTACAGTGTGTACATGTATGTACAGTACATGTACAATTGTACATACATGTACATGTACATGTATCGCATGTCTCAGACATTTTTGATAGATGTACTATTATGTACATGTACCTAGGTATCTCTATGGCAACAGGATATCGCTGGTGACAATGGAGCTATTGATAAAGCAGTTGACAGAATTGAACACACTGTGAGTCTATTAATAATAATAATAATAATGATAATAATGATAATACCGTAATAATGATAATAATAAAAATATAATAATAATACATGTAAGTTATAATAAAGTATACAAGAGTATACATGTACATGTACATATATTTTAAAAGTTTAGTAATTTTGATGGTAAAATTATATTGTAAATTTATAGTGTCCAATTACATGTACTGGTATGTACATGTATCATTAAGAATTGAGCAAAATGACAGATTTTAAATTGACAGCTGCTAATCGCACTGCCAATTCATAAATATTAATTAATTTTACCCCAATGTTTCTAACTGTACAGTAATACATGTACATGTACATGTAAAATATCATTAATGGAATATGTGGCCTAAAATTTTACATGTAAATATATTCATAATTCATAATATACATGTACTTTCATTTTTAGGCAATTGGATCCGTTTCCCTGTTCCTGTTCCCTCCTGCCTCTCGCCAGGTGGGCGGAGTCTCGTAAGGCAGTGGGCATGGCTTGTATTTTAGACGGACGACTAAGAAATGTTGTGGCACTGACGAAACTCTGTCACATTAAAGAGGAGAGAATGCCAAGTGGGCAGAATAAAGTCAGAACCTACATCAGTAACATAAAAATATTTTTAATGCAAAAAATGGAGGATTCTGATTTTGACAAAATTTTGCTATAGACGATGTACTATAGTACAGGAACTTTGGCTCGATTTTTGAGTCACTTTAAATATTTGCAACAAAATTCATTTTCGATCAGAATCAACTCAAACTTTATACACAACATAAGAACATGTATAATGTATCAGGTAAAGTTATAAAAATGTACTTTTTATTTTTGGCAAAATTCGACCCGAGACCCTGTACTATAGTATAGGGACTTTGGCCCAATTTTTGAGTAACTTTAAAAATTCGTAAAAAATCCAATTTTGATCGGAATCAGTTCAAACTTTCTACACAACATAAGAACATGTATATCTATCAGATAAAGTTATAAAAATGGAGAATTCTCTACTTTTTATTTTTGGCAAAATTTGACCCGAGACCCTGTACTATAGTACAGGGACTTTTACCCGATTTTGGAGCAACTTTAAAATTCGTGAAAAATACAATTTTAATTGGAATCAGCTCAAACTTTCTACACAACATAAGAACATGTATATGTATCAGATAAAGTTATAAAAATGGAGAATTGCTTACTTTTATTTTTGTCAAAATTTGGCCCATAACCCTGTACTATAGTACAGGGACTTTGGCCCAATTTTTGAGTAACTTTTAAAATTCGTAAAAAATCCAATTTTGATCAGAATCAGTTCAAACTTTCTACACAACATAAGAACATAAAGTTATAAAAATGGAGAATTCTCTCCTAGCCAATTTTGGCTAAATACCCTATACTATAGCCCATGGTCTTTGGCCAATTTTTGTCTCAAAATTATGATTGCAACTGTAAGTATATTATTATTGTTATTATTATTAATAATATTATTATTATTTATTAGGTTCAATCCAACACCAGCTATTGTAATGCAAATGATGAAAATAACGAGACAATAGTTAATCTTTTCAAGAAAGAAAATAAAAATAAAATAAATAAAGAAAGAGAAGAATTAGAGGAGAGTATCGTTAATAAAGACAAAGATTCATTAATTAGTGAAATTAATTATTTATTAGCAGCTGTTACCGAAATGAAGTTAGAAATACAGTCACTTCGTAAAAGAGTAAGTCAATTAATTTAAAATGTATAACTATATATTTAATTAATTATTTATTTTATTTATTTATATACATGTATTTATTTATTTAATATAATGTGACATTTTGTTTTTCGTTAGGTTCAAACACTCGAAGAACAAGCAAACAAAAACAAATAAACAAACAGAACCATCATCTAATGTAAAATGTTGTTTTTTAGCATGAAAGAAATAATCCGATCATTTTAGAATTTAAAATTTAAAGTGTCAAAATGCCAATTACCATAAATTCTCCAGAAACATCATGAGTCAAACCATCTCTATAATATTCCATTATAAATACGACTGGAACTACTATTGGAGCCTCCTATTCACAGCTACACTTGGTTTGAAATTGAAACTTTAAAAATAAAATTTCATTATCAAAATCCGCCATTTTGTAATTGGGCGTGGTCAGGAATGACCACGTGGAAACACGTGTCTTGCGGGATATAATTTTGCGTGGTAAACCACTAAAAATAAACGGAGCCAAAACAAGGGGAGGACGTTCCCACATTAGGAGAAGAGGAGGAGCCATGAGGGGGACGGAGGGAGGGAGGAAGCTCCTCTTTCCCCGTCCCTCCCATTTCCCTAAGCGGGACCACCTGCCCTTATCTCGAGCGACCCTGACAAATGGCGACGGAAGATCACCAGCTCCAATTTGGTACTTCTTACGACCAGGACGACAGAGAAGTTGAAAGCCTCACTACTCCTCCTCCTCCCGCTGGTATAAGCCCCGGGATTACAGTCATTACTGCCCCGCCAGAAATACAAGAGGTTCTTGTGACGGGGAGAGAGGGAGAGATTGATGCGGGGGAAATGTGTGGCCCCCAATTAAATTTTGGATGTTTTTATTAATTATTATTATATATAATTATTATAAAAATTAGTAGCATTTATAGAATTAAGAGTGAGACAGAGACAATGTGCCAATACTTATGTAAATATAATAATAATAATAAGATATTTATTTTATAATATTCTTTATGTAGACGTCTTTACCAAAGGCCAATCCTTATGCTTATCTTGACGTTGTGAAGGGAAGTCCATCTCCAGGACTTGGGGTAAGGATTGGACGCACTCACTTTTGTGGGAGGGACAAAAGGACATTTTATTGTAGACTTGGCACATGTAAAGTGTGTTTTGTGGCGTCTTTATTTCTGTGGGTTTCGTAATCTAACACAAGTTCTGTTAACCTCATGAAATTCGATCATGTCTGTATCTTGTTGAGTTTGTGAAAATTTTTTACTCTATGGTTAGGAATTTTGTACCTATGCATGTAAAAAGTGATTATATAATTAGAAATTTTAGTCATCTAAATGTATGTAGCAGGCCAAGGTGTGTTCAAAAGGGAATTTTTTATTTTTATATCAATGGGAACTTTATAAATGGAAAGTGTGCCTATTTTTATTCACCAAAAATGAAGTATTTTCTCCTCTTTTATGATAATAATGATAATTGTTCATTTTTGTTTTTGTATGTGTCACTTTCACTTCTCCTTTCCTTCCACCTTCCCTCTCTCTCTCTCCCTCTCTCTCTCTCCCCCACCTCTCTCTCTCCCCTCTCTCTCTCTCTCCTTCTCTCTCCCAAGGATCCATCAGATGAAGATGATTCTGATCACGGTGGTACCAGTTCAGACATATACACACAACACATGAAAGGGCGTGTCTCACCTTCGCCCTATACTGCAAACACTGAGAGAGCAAGACAATTCAATGTAAGACAAATAACGTGCATACCGTATACATGAATATACTACATGTACACATGTATCTTGAATGATAATTATAATATATGTAACATAAGGACATCTTTATAATGAGGATATTTTGTAATGTCCTAATTGGTACTACAAACTTATACAAAAGTACCTCTGAAATGAGGACACCTCTGTATTAAGGACAGGTAGTGTGGGTCCAATGGTGTCCTTAATAAAGAGGCTACACTGTACATGTATTAAGGACAGGTAGTGTGGGCCCAATGGTGTCCTTAATAAAGAGGCTACACTGTACATGCATTAAGGACAGGTAGTGTGGGCCCAATGGTGTCCTTAATAAAGAAGCTACACTGTACATGTATTAAGGACAGGTAGTGTGGGCCCAATGGTGTCCTTAATAAAGAGGCTACCCTGTACATGTATTAAGGACAGGTAGTGTGGGCCCAATGGTGTCCTTAATAAAGAGGCTACACTGTACATGTATTAAGGACGGTAGTGTGGTCCCAATGGTGTCCTTAATAAAGAGGCTACACTGTACATGTATTAAGGACAGGTAGTGTGGTCCCAATGGTATCCTTAATAAAGAGGCTACACTGTACATGTATTAAGGACAGGTAGTGTGGGCCCAATGGTGTCCTTAATAAAGAGGCTACACTGTACATGTACATACATGTATGTATTTGTACAGTTTTATTGTGGGTATGTATTTCTATGGCAACCACCAGTGGTTGTCAGGGTGATTCTGGTGGTGTTTTTCTCTTGGTAATGAGAGAATTTACCATAACATGTCTATGTCTTCCTCCCCCCCTCTCCCCCCTCTCTCTCCCTATCAGACATATGTACGTAGTCTAATAGAAGAAAGACTGGATACCCTAATCCCCATATCCCATCAACCTCGTGATCTCATTCACCAAATAATAATGGACACCAACTCCAGGTTCCCCGAGTTCTCTTCCTCCGTCCGTAAAAGGATAAGGACCTACTTGAAGTCTTACCGTCGCTCTAAACGAGTGAAGGATATGCAAGCAGCTGCAGCTATAGGCCATCAGTACAATAGTAATGCTAGTGCTAGTGGTAATGGTAATACTAATACTCCTTCTCTGTCTAATGGGATGATAACTGCTAAAGTGAATACTACTAAGGTATATCTGCTCTCAGTTTCCCTAATGTACATGTACATGAATCCTCTCCACTCTTCCTTCCCCTGCTACTTTATTATATTAATGATGATTATGATGTACATGTATTTGTGTAGATATTATACTCAATACAAATATGCTAAGTAGTATTACTAAGTGTGGAGAGTGGTCAGGGAAGACAGTATAGTATAATATTGTACAGGTTAATATGATGTGTATTAACAGTACCTAATACCTATATGTGTATGTATGTGCATGTACTTAGTGTATGTTCTATTGTAAAGGTGGGAACAATAATGACTGATAAGATCAGGAACATAGTTTTAACTTTCTTTATCTTTATCTCTCTCCTTCTCCCTCACCTTCCCCCCTCTCTCTCTCTCTCTCTCTCTCCCTCTCTCTCTCCCCCCTCTCCCCCCCAGACTACCACAGGTGCTAAAGAAGACAGTCCATTGATAAACATTGCTTCCATATCTCTACCAGCTGAGGTAGCCATACCACGAGCACTCATCATCCTCTAACCACTTCCTCTTCCTTCCTCTAGCTCCTAAACCACAAGCAAAACTCCTCCTCACCAACTTCTGCCATCATATCAATAAATTCACTGGGCGGAGCCCTACTAGGGGGAGGGGTTGATAAAGACGGGCCTCTCGCCAAGAAACCCAAACTAGCTCCAGTTGCTCCTGTTCCGGTGTCATCGATTGCTCCTCCAGTGACTAAAAGTGTTACTTCGCCAGCTGTTAATAATAGTAATGCTGTGGGCGGGGCTAAGCCTGTCATTCCTGCTGCTAAGGTTCCTACTACCAATGATGATTTGAGTACTAACGAAGTGTCAACTCTGAAACAACTGATTCAAGGTTTTTTATTTAATTATTTAAATTAATTTTTTAATACCATAGACGCCTTTTTTCGAGGGCTATAGATTTTGCGGATTTAATTTTTGCGAATTTATGCCCTCTGCCATCTTGTACCCTATTAATTTGATTTTTGAAAATCTTTAAAAAATCATGAAATTTACAGCCCTTGAAAAATGGTGCCCACGGGGTAATTGATTTAAAATTTTTTTATATCTTGAATTGTAGGGTATCGCGAGTCGGCAGGTTTTTTAAACAGGGCTGCTGACCAGCTGGAGGAAATGTTGCTAAAGGAGCATCCTGATGCAGCTGGACTCTAATACCTGCGACTGTAATATCGGTTTAAGAACCATCTTGTATTTATTAAAATTATTTAATTATTATTATTAAAAAATTAACTTATTATTATTATTAATTAATTTATTATTATTGGTGGCTTATAATTATTATCATACAAGTTTCTCTCCTTTTACTTTTCTCTACTACTTAACAGTACAGGATTATGAAACTGTGATTTTTTTTTCATTTTTTGCCTCTCTTATCTCTTTTACTGCACATTTTACACCATCATACAATTTTACATCACATACATGTATTATACAGTCGCTGTTAAATATCTCAACTGTTGATAATAATACTAATTCCATGTATTATCAATAATAATGGTGTTTTCAGTAGAAAAATAATTTGATTAATTTTAATTGATTTTTAACGAGCCACACCTACGTGCTACAAACACCCACGTGAAGGTGGGGCTCGTTCAAGTTTTTAAAAGCTATAGCTGCTGCAACAAAAGAAGCAAAACACAGCAAGAGATACGAAAATGGGAGAGAAAAGGGGGAAAGAATATTTAATCATGAAAGAGTCGATCAAAACCATTGAATACAAACCCAAGGAAGGTGAGACATAGTAGCTATAAATGGAACAGCAATTAATAAAAGTCTATATATTATTATTATTATTGTTTTAGATAGTGGGACTGGTACAGTTGAGATTAAGCTTTTCCCAAGAACTCGCTCCTTTGGCTATTTTGCCTTAAAAAAGTTAACACAAACTTTTGGTGGTGATGCTGCAGACATAAAAACAGCAATAGTAAGCTATATCATCTTATATATACTGAGTTTGTCATGAATTCTGCTACTTTTAATTTAGAATACTTCTGGTTCGCTTTCAATCAATATCAATTCTGTAGTCCTTCTTTATGAGAGACAAAAAGTTTCCAATCCAATTTTTGCATTTATAAGCATACCTTCAACTTCAAAAGATGCACCGCCAATTTCGAAAAAGGTTGAGGTCATCGATTTTCAAGTTACTCTTTTTGACGTGGAAGAAGATGCTTTAATGCAAATTATTGTTACAGTGTCACAGGAGCTGAATAAGTGCCACCAATTTTAGTAAGCCATAAAAATCAAGTAAAAATTAATGATGATGCTTTAATTTATTTTGTGTAGCTTCAGAAATGTTAATAAGACAGTGAATGCAAGCAGTATGATGCCAGCTCTACCTATACCAGTAGTTAAAGAAGATACAATTGGTCCCGAGATATAACAAATGAATTTTAACTTCTGCTATTATCAATAACAGATTATCTGTACTCCTAATGCTACTGTAGTGTGTTCTGTATCAATACAATGGAGTGTTAGTACTATACAGCTATCATTGGAAGCTAGTCAATAATAGAAAATACTACAGTCTAGAGCTTATTTCAACTATGCATGTACAGCATTATAAAAGCAATGAAACAGAAAACACTCATGATTAAAAAAACACATTATTAGCAAATTTATCATTCATACCATGCAAACATAATAATTATATGTGTCCTTGTAGTTATTGAATACCATTAGCATTACTCAAGTCTGCTAATGGCTCATAATTCTTCCTTCGAGTGCAATTACGTTTCACACATAAAAACACCACAAGAAATATCAGGACAGCAGCAATTGATCCAAACAGTCCAATGCTGCTAATACCAATGAGCTTGACTCCATTCAGCGAGAGAGTGACAGAAGTAAGGCTCACACTTCCTGCACCATGACTAGTGATTAATATGCACTCTCTTGTGTTACGAACTGGGTAACGGCTAAAATTGATATTACAGGGATTACTAGAACTAACAGTACAACTTGAAGATAGGCGACTTGTATTGACTTGTGTTAATTCAACCATTGCATATGCATCCAGTAGTACTTCATATTTATTAGTAAAAGCAGCTATCAAGATCGGCTTATTAGGAATGAGAGTTAGATTGACAGTGCTATTACCAACATCTATACAATCTGAATGAGCAATACTTCCATCATTGCTAGTTGAAGGATAGTTAAATTTATTACGATATCTGTCATATAGATCATAGAGGAACACTTTGATATAGCAATCCGATTGATAAGATGATTTTAAGTTAATTCTGTACGAGATTACTCCAGCTTTTACATTAGAATAGAGGGGTCTGTGATCATCATCAAAATCAGGATAACCAAAAGCAATGGATTCTATAATGTCAATATCCTTTAATGATCGCAATTTCTTTTCAGGGAAAGTGTAGCGCTCATATACAATATCAGATTCAGGAACTAGGAACAGGTCGGCGCTAAAACCAGTAGAGTTGGTTGTAACTTGAACTAGCTTTGTGTCAAAGCTGTCATAGCAAATTGGAGCTCCAGTGTAGCTGTCATTGAAGTATTCAGTACTGACTATTGGAGCTGTATCACTGGTATAGCCTACAAAGAGCCCCACACCAGCTAAACTCAGTATCGTAAAGAACAGAGCAGCTATTAATGCGAGGCAAATGAGGGCTTTATGATGAGAGGCTACAGTAGGCGAATTAAAAAAATTAAATTATAATAACACATTCTTTCTTAGAATATTCTCAATTTGTTATCAAAATTCCTATATTTTACATGCATAAAGGCACTGAAAAAATTGAAAGTTTTGGAGTCAATTAAACAATGGAACATTACAATATTCATGAGCTGTTACTATAAATAGGACACTTTGATAAAGCATTTCCTTTGTATAGCATCATCAGTGTCATGTGATTACTATCACAATGAGACCATGTAGTACATGTACATGTACATATAACATGCATAAAAATGAAAATTTAATTGTCATCATAATACTGTTGCTTACTTTTCTTCTTAACTTGATCATGTTGGCCTTCTATAAAAATACAGTATAATAAATAATTAATGTAGTCATAACAATTAACTTACGTGTGATATTAAAATTGTTACGCTGTACGAAATCAAGAAGTGGTTGTTTAAAATTTTGACATTCCAGCTCGTCAAGATATCCAAGAAATACAGAAACATTGTTAGGAACCATAGCACCACCATCATACAAAGACTCTATGAAAACATGAAGTGGGACCTCACCAATCACTGGCTGATGATTGAAAAATCTTCCAGTAGCCCTTACTCTGAAATCATAATACTTGTCATTGGGTAAGCTGTTTAACACTGATAACAGTGCTAGCATTAGCTCAAATTGAATGATACTTTCATCATTTGTGGGAGGATAACTGAAGTCTCCTAGCAGGTTTTGAGGACACCCAATGGTTTTAAGAGCGGAGTGCATCAGTGTAGAGGCTGGTACTGGCTCATTCCTCTCGGGATATCTTGTTTGAAGAGCTTGAAGGAGTTGCAGATAATATTCTGCTCCGTTGATCGCATCCTTGCTCCTTATTAGCGGTAATAGAGCCGTTTTAAGCAAACTAAACCTCCTCTCTGCTGGATTGCCATTAATCCAAGCCTCAGCCATTTTGTCTAGAGTCACACCTACAATAGACAGTTGTTGAGTGGGCTCAAGAAAGCCTTGCTTGCACCATAGACGTGTTTGCACTGATCAGCTGAGCACATGTACATGTACACAGTGAGACATGCAGCTTTATAGGAAAGTAGATCAGATCAAACTTCATTGTCACATATTCCTGCAATTGAACATTAATCACAATTGGAATAGCAAATTTAGCAAAAAATCACACACAAAAAATTAGCTTAAACATTCATTTCATATTATTAGCCTCTTCTATTATTATCAGCACAATATTCAGCTGTTAACATAAATCACATAGTAGTTTCACTGCAGCTCCCATAAGTAGCAGCTGTAGCAATAGTAATGGGTTCCTTGGGTTTTTGTTGCTGTGGCTGTCTATCATACTCATGTATTCTACCAGGAACATGTTGTTCATCATATTCTTGTGGATTCTCCATACGATCAGCAATCCAATCATCATCATTACCAACTAATGACTGATGGTCTTCTTCTTGATTTCTGTTAGCCACTGGATTTTTTCTTTTATGATAATGATGACATTCTGATATCATTTTGGTTACCCGGTAATTTATATACCCTGGTATAATAAAGTAAAATAATAGAAGATTAACAATTGGTAGTGTAACTATAAACTGCCATGGTAATTCATCAAAAACAGCCCGGGAAACAACTTGGAGAAAGAAGAAACACTGATTGTACATCCAAGTGCCATAGTTATAAACATTATTAAAAATTCAGTAAAATTATGAATATCCCTTTTAAAGGGACGAAAGATGATAACTATTACTGATAGTAAGAAGGAACAGCAAGCTTGAGAAATTGGTACTGAAAATATGTAATATTGCCCATAAATGAATTGACTTGAGATGATTATTCTTGCCAGTAGGTATAGTCCAGCCATGAAACGATAATCATAAGTATTCTCAGTTCCATTCTTATAAGGACCAGTAAACACATCACCCAGTGATATTAGTAGCTGTTTCCTCAAATGTAAACAATCCAATAACTTATGA